ACCAGGAAAGATGAAACTCATTTGGAAGCATCCTCAGGTAGTGTAGATTCAAGTTTATTCAAATCATGACCCCCGGGGTTAGGGTGGGGCCACAATAGCCGATCAAAGTTTTACATAGGAATTTATAGGAAATTTTTTAAAAAATCTTCTCAAGAACCACTGGGCCAGGAAAGATGAAACTCATGTGGAAGCATCCTCAGGTAGTGTAGATTCAAGTTTGGTCAAATCATGACCTGGGGGGTGGGGGGTGGTGGGGGTGGGGGGTAGGGTGGGGCCACAATGGCTAATCAAAGTTTTACATAGGAATATATAGGAAACATCTTTTAAAATCTTCTTCTCAAGTATTTCAAAGCCATGATTAGTGATATTTATATGGAATCATCCTCAGATAGTGTAGATTCTAGTTTGTTCAAATCATAACCCCCAGGGATATGGTGGGGCCACACAATGGGGGATTCAAGTTTTACATTAAAATATATTTTTAAAAAATCTTCTTCTCAACAATAGCAAAGCCATGAGTAGTGATACTAGTATTTATATGGAAGCATTTTCAGGTAGTATAGAATTTGTTCAAATCATAACCCCCAAGGGTAGGATGGGGCCACAAGGTTGGATCAAAGATTTACATAGTAAAATATAGGGGGAAATCCCAAGAACAGAAAAGCTATGTGTAGTCATATTGAAGCATCCTCATGTATGGAGGATTTAAATTTGTTCCAAATCATGGCCCATTGGGGTAGGGAGGTAAACAATTGGGAAACAAATTTAAATTATTACGAAATAATATATAGAAAGAAAATGTTTTTTTAAACAAAATCTTCAAAGTCATATGCTGTATTAATATGATGGCATTCTCAAGTAGTATTAAAATTCAAGCCCCCCCCCCCTTTCAGTAAACTTTTCAGTTCTGATCTGATTCCGATTAGCTCAGGTGAGCGATGTGGCCCCTGGGCCTCTTGTTAGCTTTTCTGATCAAAATTTGTCCGTTGTCTTTCGTCGTTGTTGTTGTTGTCGTTGTAAACTTTTCACATTTTCATCTTCTTCTCAAGAACCACTGGACCAATTTCAACCAAACTTGCTACAAAGTATCCTTGGGTAAAGGGGATTCAAGATCCTTCAAGTGAAGGGCCAGGCCCTTTTCCAAGGGGAGATAATTATGAATCAGAGAAAAATTAATGGCATTGTAAAAAAAATCTTCTCAAGAACCACTAGGCTAGGAAAGATGAAACTCATATGGTATCATCCTCAGGTAGTGTAGATTCAAGTTTGTTCAAATCATGACCCACGGGGGTAGGGTGGGGCCAAAATGGTCGATCAAAGTTTTACATAGGAGTATATATAGGAAAAATCTTTGAAAATCTTCTTCTCGAGAACCACTGGGCCAGGAAAGATGAAACTCATGTGGAATCATCCTCAGGTAGTATAGATTCAAGTTTGTTCAAATCATGACCCCCAGGGGTAGGATGGGGCCAAAATGGTTGATCAAAGTTTTTCATAGGAATATATAGGAAAAATTTTTAAAAATCTTCTTCTCAAGAACCACTGGGCCAGGAAAGATGAAACTCATGTGGAATCATCCTCAGGTAGTATAGATTCAAGTTTGTTCAAATCATGACCCTGGGGGTAGGGTGGGGCCAGTATGGCTGACCAAAGTTTTAACTAGAAATATATAGGGAAACCTTTTAAGATCTTGTTTTCAAGTACTTCAAAGCCATGATTAGTAATATTTATATGGAATCATCCACAGGTAGTGTAGATTCTAGTTAAATTGTTCAAATCATGATCCCCTTGGGTGTTAAAATTCAAGCCCCCCCCCCCCCCCCAACCTCAGTAAACTTTCAGTTCTGATCTGATATGTGCTTTTTCCTAGCTGATGTGCTCAGGTGAGCGCTGTGGCCCCTGGGCCTCTTGTTTATTAAGTACTGAAATCTCCAAAAGGTCATCCATTGAAAGGCCTTACCACAAAGAATACATTCCGTATAAGTAGAATTTTTAGCGAGGATTTAATTTTGGCATTATTAGCGTGGGTGCTGAGATCGCTAAAATAATATATATAATTAATTGCATTTATTAGGTCACCTGAATAAACTCAGGTGACCTATTGCTATACGTTTTCGTCCGTCGTCATTCTTTGTGCGTTAACATTTAAACATTTTTAGCTTCTTCCCTGAAACCACTGATCCAATTTCAACCAATTTTGGCATATAGCATATGTGGGTGAAGGGGAACAAAAATTGTGAATTTCATGGTCCCTGCCCCCCAAGGGGCCTGATAGGTGGGGCCAAAACCACTAAGATTAGTGCAGTCTTTAAAAATCTTCTTCTTTACTCCTGGACTTCAAGCAGTCAAACTGTTCGTATGATTGTAATCAGCATTGAGTCCTCTACCAAAATTATTGAATTCATGGCCCCAGGGTCAGGGGTTTTGGTGTTAGGGCAGAGCTCTATTGATTATTGAGTGAAAATGCATTAATTCTTTGAAAATCTTCTTCTCTGCTCCTGGGTATTAAATAAACTAACTAAGTACATATTTGTGAAGAGCTAGAGTGCCTCTACCAAAATTGTGAATTTTATGGCGCCAGGGTCAGGGGTTCTGGTGTTAGGGCGGGGCTCTATTGATTATATAGTGAAAATGCATTATTTCTTTGAAAATCTTCTTATCTGTTCCGGAGTATGAAATAAACTAATTAAGTAAATAGTTATGATGAGCAAGAGTGCCTCTACCAAAATTGTGAATTTTATGGGGTCAGGGGTTCTGGTGTTAAGGCAGTGCTCTATTGATTATATGGTGAAAATGCATTAAATCTTTGAAAATCTTTTCTACTCCTAGGTATTAAATAAACTAACTAAGTATATAGTTATAATGAGCAAGAGTGCCTCTACCAAAATTGTGAAATTCATGGCCCCAGGGTCAGGGGTTCTGGTGTTAAGGTGGAGCTCTATTGATTATTGAGTGAAAATGCATTAATTCTTTGAAAGTCTTCTCTGCTCCTGGGTATTAAATAAACCAACTAAGTAAAAAGTTATGATGAGCAAGAGTGCATCTTCTAAAATTGTGAATTTTATGGCCCCAGGGTCAGGGGTTAGGGCGGGGCTCTATTGATTACATGTATATAGTGAAAATGCATTACTTCTTTGAAAATCTTCTTCTCTGCTTCTGTGTATTAAATAAACCAACTAAGTAAAAAGCTATGATGAAGAAGAGTGTCTTTTCCAAAATTTTGAATTTTATGGCCCCAGGGTTCGGGAGGGGCTCTATTGATTATATAGTGAAAATGCATTATTTCTTTGAAAATCTTCTTCTCTGCTCTTATGTATTAGATAAACTAACTAAGTGACTTAGTTATGATGAACAAGAATGCTTGTACCAAAGTTGTGAATTTTATGGCCCCATGGTCAGGGGTTATGGTGTTAGGGCACTGCTCTATAATGATTATATAGTGAAAATACATTACATCTATGAAAATCATTTTCTCTACGATTATTAAATTTTTTCTTCAATAATTCCCATGAACGATTCTGATCTATCATAAAGTGTCCAAAACTCGGAAAAAATTCAGGTGGACCAGCAGGGCTGACTATTCATAAAGTCTGTCAGCCCTGCTGAAAATACCAAGCCTGCATATATTGGTTAACAGTGCAATTTCTGTCCTGATTTACATTAAGAGATACTTTATCTACTTCAAAAACACAAAATATCATTCATTTGTCTGTCTGTTAGTCTGTCCGTCCGTCACAAAAACTTTAACCTTGCCCATAACTTTGGATTGATGGGGCCACATATTTCAAAATTTTGCAAATTTGATCATAAAATGGTTGATTAATACCAAAGAGTAGATTTCAAAGCATTAATTTATTTTCAGACTATGTAACACCCCCCCCCCCCATCCAACCCAGTGTGGCATAAAAAAATAACCATTTTGTTAGATGCACCTTTCTTCATCATAAATATATATACTATATAAATATAGCCCTTTGATGAGGTTGATCCATAGATATATCGACTTCACAGAAAAGCATATTGACCGAGCACGAAGTGCGAGGTCGATATGCTTTTCTGTGAAGTCGATATATATCTATGGATTGACAGAATTAAAGGGCTACATTTATTATATTATTTTGTACAGAGGTTGATAAGAAAACAATTTGAAAAAATGGGAACAAACCACAAGTTTTCTCTCTTAAACACTTAGAGACTAGAAATCAAAATAAATTAAGTTGTTTTATATAACTGTGTTAAACTTTCCTTGACTTGAGATTTTTACATAATTTAGAGGATTTACTAATTGAAAGTACTACAAATGTACATCTTTTTGATTGTTTTGTATCAATTTTGACAAAGATGTTCAATATGTTCTAATATTAAGTAGATTGTAATTCAGGCCATTGTTACAGAACATTACAAATTTGAATACAAGTTTAGTTTAAAATATATTTTATTCATTAAGAAATGGATTGAACAGCAGGCATAAATGCTTATGATCGTTCTCTCCAACAAGTTGAAGTATATATATTTTTTTTCAAAAACATCAAGTCATATACTGTATTAGCTATAATTGTGAAATCTTTCTTATTAATTTTTTGTTTTACAGAAAATTACCGCTATTTTAAGAAACATCAAGTCGATATGCATTTCAGATTCTATAAACAGTAACTCAAGTCTATATGCTGTTATATACTAAATCATGTGATCAAGTTTAAGCCAATTAAAGAGCTTGGAATATATGATTAAAATAATATTATGATTTAATAATCTTAATAAAAAGAACAACATGGCCAAAGTTTCTGAGATGAGCATTGTGGTCCATTGGTTTTCTTGTATTTTGATGAAAAAAAAAAAAATCCTGTAATATCCTAAAAAAATCACTCTATAATTGTTTGGAAATGGGATATATCCTGCCTCAATCCTTATAAAGTACTTAATATCTGTATATACATACTGTACATTTTAAAATTGCAGTGTGCTGTTTAATTGCTATTATCACAATGACTTTATTACAGTATTTCAGTTTTACTCTATTTACTATGGCTTTGAATGAGATAACAGAAGAGAACGCCAATAAGATTCCCCCCACTGACTGTCGACTGAGACCAGACATACGTCTGCTGGAGCAAGGACAAATAGGTATTACAAGAACATATGATGAAAAGTTGAGAGTAAATATAAATTACACTATAATAGTGATAATTCACTAACATTGTTAGAATACACTAAATATTTAGGCATTAGTTATTTAAAAATCATCAAATACTGTAAAATCGCATATTTTTCATGGGATCAAATTTTTGTGGTTTGAGTTAAAACTATTTATTCGTGGGGATTTGAATTTGTGGATGAAGAATTGTGTAGTATTCAATATTTTACATTTCGTGGTGGTCGTGAGTTCTTGGGTCTCTTCACACCTCGAAAACAACGAAAATTAAACTCCAACGAAAATTTGTGATTTCACAGTACAGTCCCTGAAAGATTCTACTTTCCCACTTGAACGGTGAGGGAATGATGAGTGAATGCTTAATGAATGCTGAGAGAACTGTGAATGAATGCTGATTAAATGGTGAATATTTACATTTGCATTATATCTTTCTTAGATGAACCTATTGAAGAGAAATTTTCAATTCTAGATTTTTATAGAGAAGTTTTGAATGACATGATATTCAATGAGAGTTATATCGAAAATAGTTGCAGCGTTTAAGAAGTAGAGTACTGTTTGTTAAACACAGACAGTGGGGTACAATCTGGGCCTCAAACGGCATCAAACAACGTGTATTCTCTGCTGCCTACAATGTAAGGCGATCTTTCGACTCAAGTTTGACTGAAATTTGAATCTGCTTTAAAAAAAGAAACAACAAACCAAAAAATATGGACAGTAGTGAATTTAAGTGTCCCTTAGTCAAAAGTGGTCTTTCACTTAAAAAAGAAAATTGAATGTTAACAGAGGCATGCGACGCAGAAAAAGATATCATGACGTTATAAGGGACGTAAATTACGTTTACTTTCGTGTGCCGATGTACACTTACAGGCTTTCTTTATTTTTTCATAATTTTCTTATTAAATGTGATATCATCATGAAACTTGAAATGCATGATCATAAAATGTTACTTTTTGCTATGATAAGGAAAAAAAATTAATTAAGCAAAGACAAACAAAACTGTTTTCCCTGTCTACGACTTTTTAGGACAACCCTCGTAGAGGACACATACAGATATTTTCATTCAACAGATGTTCAGTAGATCTCTTTAGTGTGAAGAATGTTTTAAATACTATAATTACAGCCAAAAATCGGACTTACCTTTTTAACCCAAAATTCCTTTGAAGTTATGTTAACTAAAACAGGGGATATCCCTGCTTTTGATTTCAAACATTAGAATAGAAAGATTATTCTCAGTGGCGATCATTGTTCTTAGATTATAAACACAGAATTCCTGAACTGGACTGCTGATCATCATTGTAAATGTTCAATGTTGGAGCGACACGAACTGTCAAACCAAACAACTTCTACGCCCCCTAGGTCATTGTGCGTCAAAACATAGCAATACGGCTGCCCGTTCATGCAATAAATGCAGTTTTATTTGGAATTTATTCATCTCAAATGTAAATATAAGTAATAATTAAACAACAATGTTAAAAAGTTCACTGGGAAATGAACTTTTAGCTGGTACGTGATCTAATCTACTGAGAAGCCCTTTGGGCTTTACAGGATTTGATCACATGACCAACTAAAAGTTCATTTCCCAGTGAACTTTTTAACATTGTTGTTTATTTCTTAAATGAACGCTGAGGCCAAAATAAAATTATAGTTTGTTTGGAATTGCCTCCCGCCTCATTGAAATGCCCCCTCCTGAAAAAATTTTATTGACCAAGAGTACGAAGAATTTTTTTTTATTTAATCAATTTTTTTGCCCATTATTCATGTATCATATGCACCATACAAAACACCGAAAGATAGTGTCAGATCTATGTAAAATTAGGATTTTTTGTTGATGGAAGATACTTTATTTAAAAGTCAGAAAATGTATTTACTTTTTACTATGATTTTTTTCAAAAATTTTAAGTTTTTCTTCAGTTTAAAAAAATAAAATAATTTCCCTCCCTCCCTCCTGTGTCTGAAACCCTTCAGGCGGCAATTCCAAACAAACAATTTTTTAAGGATGGCCTGAGTGAACGGTGAATGAACACTGAACTAACGCAGAGTGAATGCTGAGTGAACGATGTGTTGTGAATGCTGAACACAACATCATGAATGTTGAATGAAAGCAGAATGTGAGTGGAGTGCAAATGCGAGTGCAAAGTGAATGGTGAATGCAAGATGAACAGTTTAGTTAGAATGCCACTCATCTTTTCTTTGCGAGTGCAAAGTGAATGGTGAATGCAAGATGAACAGTTTATTTAGAATGCCACTCATCTTTTCTTTGCATTATATCTATTTGATTGTATTCTATTATCAGGTGCAAAAAGTTTCTTACAATATTTTCTGCACATATGTATGATGTTTAATTCAACTTTTTAATCACACAATTTTTATATTGCTGTAAAACATTGTAATTATTACCAAACCCTGTAGTTTTAAAGGTAAAATTTTTCTACTTATAAAAAAGATTTAAAAAAAAAAAAGATTGTTATTTAAGGAGGCTATATCATTACACCACTTTTTACTTCACATGAGTCTTTGGCTCAAGTGAGCTTTTCTGATCAAAAGTTGTCTGTTTTCTGTCGTCGTCGTCATCGTTAATTGTTGCTGTTATCGTAAACTTTTCACATTTTCATCTTCTTCTCAAGAACCATTGAGCCTTTTTCAACCAAACTTGCCACAAAGTATCCTTGGGTGAAGGGGATTCAATTTTCTTCAAATGAAGGGCAACGCTTTCTTCCAAGGGGAGATAATTATGAATTAGTGAAAAAGTAATGGCATGTTTTAAAAATCTTCTCAAAGACCACTGGGCCAGGAAAGATGAAACTCAGGTGGAAGCATCCTCAGGTAGTGTAGATTCAAGTTTGTTCAAATTGTGACCGCCTGGGATAGGGTGGGGCCACAATGGCCCATCAAAGTTTTACAAAGGAATATTTATTAAAAATCTTCTCAAGAACATCAAATCCATGATTGGTGATATTTATATGGAAGCATCCTTTGGTTGTGTAGCTTCAGATTTGTTCAAATCGTAACCCCCAAGGTTGGGGTGGGGCCAAGAAGGTGGATCAACAAAGCTCTACATAAGAAAATTGAGGAAAAAAATCTTCTCACCTATGTTTAATCGTAATGACATGTAAGCATTCTCATGTAGTGAAGGTTTAAATTTGTTCAAATTTTGACTCATTGGGGCAGGGAGCTCCCCCCCCCCCCCAACATCCTGTAAACCTTTCAATACTGATTTGTACTTTTTTATAGCCAATAGGCTCAATGAGCGATGTGGTCCATGGGCCTCTTGTTTAAATTTGCTTCTATAATCAAAAATATTTACATTCACTGTCTTTTTCTACTGAGCCAACTGTGAAATTGACATGAATACCATTTTTGTGTGTACTCATGCATAAAAATATACAGGGAGAAACGTACATTGACGTGACATCACAAGAAGGCTACAACAATGGTAGTAAAAGTATAATGATATAGGGCAGCGAGAAATTCAAATACTATAGACGTACTTTTTTCCAGGGGGTCTTAATTCCGCAGAATCTCAATTTCTGTTTAATTCGTGTGTAGAAAATTATGTGGATTTCCCAGACTGTCACTATATGCCTTACATTTATGTTAAGTATGCTTGGACAAATATCCACGGAAAATTTGTAGCCGCGTACATACAGTAAATTAAAAACACGCGGAAAAAAAGTACTTCTTATTTTTGGTGCTTCCAAACATGTAAATTGTAAATATAAGGAATGATTTTAAGTTTAGTGTGAATTACTGGTGTTTGAATCACACAGAGTTGCACGTAGGCATATTTTTCATCAAGCGCTAGCACGCTTGATGAAATATGTCTACGTGACAAGTCTGATTCACACACAAATAACTTGCAAAAAACTTAAAAACATTCTTTAAATAAAAACCACACCAAAGACATCAATACACCAGTTATAACAGTCAAATGGTTTACAATTCTTTGTAATGATCAGACTAGATTGAAGAATAGGAACAAGCATGTTGTCGGGATTGCAAATCATATTATTTGAACATTTTAAGCTCACCTCAATGAAGTTGGCAGTGGCGGATCCAGGATTTGGTGAAAGGGGGGGCCCAGAAGGCCGGGGGTCTGGGGGTCCAGTGGGTCCAGGGCGAAGCCCTGGTGGGGGCCCAGGGGGCGAAGCCCGCGGAAGCTCCTGGGTTTTGCTAGTTTTTAAAGACATTTTTTGAGCTATTCCAGCTATATTTTTCACATTAAAACACAAATAAAAACTAACAAAAAATGAATAATTTTATCGTAATCAAGTTGCAAATCACGATGGATATATAACAACATCAATGAATTAAGGCGATCTTCTGACATAACACTTCGTTTTTTAGTTTTCACATCCTTCAAGCGTGAATGACTTCTTTCCACAGAGGCAGCTGATACTGGCATTAGAAGGAGAAGTCTCAGAATTGTAGAAATGTTTGGGTAGAATTTGGAGTTGGTTTGTTGAATAGTAGATCTGAGATTGTCAGGCAGTGACATAGACAACTCTGGGGTGGACCATTCCCTTTTCCATAACTGAATTTCACTGAAAAATTGTTCTTTGCATGGCAGATCATTTTCAAAATGATCTACAATTGAACATACTTGCTGATCATCAAGTAAATGCAAGTTTGACGGAATTAAACTAAGAGCCTTTGATGTTATTGCATTTGCTGTTGAAAAACGAGATTTCAGTTCAGACAGCAGATGGTCAAGGTAAGGGATAAAGACTGATCTACAAAAGTACTGTTTTGGGGTATCTGCTGAAACATTATTTCTTGTTGTTTGTCTGTTGCACATTCTTGGGACTGCTAAGGTTGTAGATACTTTCTTAGCCATAATCTCTGACTCATCCCACACTTCATTAAACGAATGGTCACTGTCTCTTCTTATTTGCTCCAGCTCTTGTATGACAATGTTGACTTTCTGAAAAGCAGATATAATGTCTTGTGTTGGTCTTTGAAGAAGTCCACTCAATGATTTGAGGTATCCCGAAAACTTCAGATATACATGTATCGCAACGATCCACTTCGAACTACAAAGACTTGATAGTAGCCCATTAGACTCTGTG